GTGTGGCAGCGCTGCAGGGATGCGGTAGAGCCAGACGGAGTGTACAGAGTGGACACGTGAGCTGTCAGAACAAAACTCACATGTCTGTGCCGCAGTATAAGCAGAAAACGTGGGCGGCAGCCTTCTCGTTTACAGAATGGCTTCACCAGTGCTTTGTCCCAGCAGTGACAAAATACTTGGAAGGGTGAGGTTGGAAAGTAAAGTCCTGTTAATAATAGACAATGCACCTGACCATCCTGAATCTCCTATGAAATAAAAACATCAAGGTTGTATTTTTACCTCCAAATACAATGTCATTATTTAAACTGCTGGGGCAGGACCGTCATTTGGAGTGCCAGGGCCATACACAACCCAGTATTTTATTGCATTCGGTCATCTGGATCATTATTGCTGATGTAATGGCATTTGTCTACCCTGCAGTGGAGGGATTAAAATCAGAAATTTGTAATACCTGTTGGAATAATTTATTAAGTCATGAATGATTTTTAGAGGCTTCCAAGGGATCAAAGAAGTTAGAAAATCATCCACACAGTTAGTGGAGAAGAATTTGCCAACTTGCTTAATGAAGTAGAAGCACACATTGAAGGCCATGGAGAAGTATTAAAAATGAGGAATCAGAAGGACGTGTTGAGTCCTCTATGAAGGAGGAAGAAGATGAAGAGAACATTGAAACAGAACCAGCAGTGTGGACATTACCAAAATTTATGAAATAACTATGAGGGTCAGTCTGTAAAAAGTTCATGGAAATGTGCATTAGAAAAAAGGAATGAATTTTTTGCACCAAAATAAACTGTGTGATCGGCAAAAGATGACAGCTTCTGCAACAGCATTTTGATGTCTCAAAAGGAGAGAAGACGATATCTGATTACAGTGTTCTTCCAGAAGTTCAGCAAAAATCCACTTTCAGCTCCCAAGGATTTCCACCCAGCAACCTGTCTTGCTCCTCACTTCTAACCATCAACAATGTCATGGCTCCAGATCCAGGTCACAGGAATGGACAGTCCCCCTTCTGGCGTATCATCAAAAGACCAGGAGCAGCTGACACTCCCTCGCCAGGCCTCTGTCACTCACTCACATCACTCCTCACCTCGGAACACCACAGGGGAGTGAGGACGGGACAGGGGGATGTTTTCAGAGAGAGCCACCACAATCACACGACTTTTACCACAGTATGCCATTACAGTTGTTCTGTTTTATTGTTGCCATTATCACGTCACTGGGACTGATCTATGGGTTAAACTATCAGAGGATGTGTGTATAGGAGAAGACATAGTTTCTAGAGGGTTCTCTACATTCTGCAGCCTGAGTCACCCACTGAGGTTCTCGGAAAGTACCCCCCAGATAAGGGGAGGCTGCTGTACAAAGAGAGAGGGTTAGCAGGAAATTTGCTCTATGTCAATAAACATAGCTATACTAGAAGATACTTGGGGGTAACTTTATAATCCAGTAGCATCATTCCAAAACAAAGAAATCAAAGGAATTCATCCCCTGCCCATCAGGGGTAGAGACAGAAAGAAACTTACCATGATCCGAATACCTACTATGTCCCAGGTATTCTTTGCATTCTCCTATTTAATCTCCACAGCCACCTAGAGAGGTGAGTATTTTGTTGTTTATTTTACAAGTAATTGGAAGGTTAGGGAGCTTGAGTCACGTGTATAAAATTACTCGCCTGGTTGCAGCAAAGGCAGAATTCAAATCCATTTTGCCGGATTCCAAACTTCTGGTCAGCCCTGCTCTATCACCTGCCTCTCAGGCAAGAACAGAAGGAAAACACATCTCGGGGAACCTTGAGAAAGCGTAGTAGCTGTGCTGTCTTGCTGCAGACAAGAACCTAGTGGTACGTGGGAAAGGTGACCCTGGCTCAGTTAGGACTCGAGGCCCTGAGGGTGACGTGAGCACTGGGGGAAAACCAAGCACGAGGTCAGCCCCAACTGCCGGACGCTGGTTCTTCCCCCCAGGTGTATGGACCGGAAGGGCAGAACTGAGGATTCACAGCCACTGCTCCGCACCCTTAGTCGTGCCTTTTCTCGGGAGCCTCGGGGCTTTATCTTAGCAGAGCCATTTACTTTGGTTCATCGAACTCTGTGTAACATTTTTCTTTGTGTCCCGTTTTCTCCCCCAACGCAGGCTGTATTAGGTCCTCTGGCTCTAGAAACAGCAAGGATCTCGGCGCCGTACTTGGAAACCTATTCGAAGGACGTGATGACGGTGGCATTCTTATCCATCTTGATCACAGCTCCAAACGGAGCCTTGCTTATTGGCATACTAGGGCCCAAAATGCTCACGCGCTGCTACGATCCGGGCAAAGTGGAGGCGCAGCTGTCGGAATGCAAACACCATTAAAGTTTCTCAGCCATCACGTGCCTGCTTCCTTGAACGAATTATTCGCCTGACAGAACAAATTTAAAGTACAAGTATCTGGAGATTATATGTCCAGAATTTAGTAAATACGTGACTTCACTACAGGACTTTCCTCTGATTTTTTTATCCTAGTTAATTTAACAAAAATAATACCAAATGGAGTGCTCTCTTAGTATTTACGTATTTCTTCTTCTCTTTTTTCTTTCTTTTCTTTTGCTATAAGGTGTGTGCACTGGCCAAAGGCAGATAGGCAGAAAAGAGAGAGAGAGTAAGAAAGCACCTTCCCCTCAAGGGGATGACCACATTGCAGTCCCTTCTCCTTCTTTCTCCTGGGATTTTGGGCATGCATGCACACGTGCCCAGTGTTTTCCACGCCGCCCAGTCTTGCTAAAGAATCCCACAGGACTGTGCTGTGATTCTTCTACTGGAGTTTGCCACACCGCACAGTGTTTCTGCCCACTGCATGTACCTCTGATACCACAGTTTTCTAGAGCGTGCAGTGCAGGCGTTAGGACCGCCCACTGCTCTGTAGCCTGGGCCTGCCCAAGAGCCCTCTCCTGCTCTAAATTCCTGTCAAAGCTGGCAGCCTTCTGTGCTACTCAGAAAATGTGTCAGAGCAATGTTCTTCAGTGTGGAATTTGCCACCTCCAAAACCCAGGGGCCTATGAGGCACTATGTTTTCTTCTTCATCGTGGGAATCATGGGAATGTGAGATGTAATAATTTGTCCTTTATTTTAGACACATCCCAGACCACTGAACCTCCTAAATTTTTTTTTTTTGGATAGGTTTTTGCTATAGAGCGCATGTGCTCGCCAGAAAGACAGAGAGAGAGAGACAGAGAAAGTGAGAAATCATCCCCGAGGGGGGATGGCCACACCGCAGTCCCTTCTCCTCCATTCTCTTGGGATCTCTCTCTAATCAAACTGAAAATAATAATAATAAATAAAATTAATACATAATTTTTAAAAATTATTTGATTCCATTTATATTATAATTTAATTTGATCAGAGAGAGAAAGAGAAAGCAAGAAAGTAAGCCACCAGGTCCAGGACTCCAGCCACGGTCAGCCACCGGGGAAACTAGCACCTTTTCCCACCACGCCACCTGCTGGCCCCAGTACCGCTGATTTCATTTAAAAATTGCGTTCCATTCACAAATTTTCCAAGATCATCTTTACTGTCAAATAATGATGGCAGCCATGCCTGTTAGTTCCTAAATTAAGCTTATTATGATGATTTAAAATACATGTTATAGGTGTTTCATAAATAATCACTGTTTAAGTAATTTCCATTTTACTGAAGAATCTTAATTAGGAAATGGCTACGGAATGTTATAACCAGCCCTCTGTTTTTTTTATGATTTTTTTCTCTAATTCATAATTGTAAATATATTAACTGATACTAAAACACCCTTGCATTCCTGAAATACAGTGCTCTTCGCCACAGTGTATTTTTTTTTAACTGTGCTGGATTTTTATTTAGAATTTTCATCCATTCATATAAATGAGATGGCTGTGGTTTATACACATGTGTCTTGCACTTATCAGGTTTTCATAGTAATGCTATACTGGGTATATGAAAGGATTTGGTGAGTTCTTTTCCTTTTAAAAAAGTTTCAGAGCCAGCTCAGTGGCACGGATAATGCACTGCTCCAGCGGTGCTGGACGGGTACCGGGGAGTGTAGGTCTGGCTCCCTGGTCGACCTGTGGCCCAAGTGTGAGCACCCGTGGTTCCAGCCAGGTGGGAAGGCTACGGGGAGGCTCGTGGCATAAGACTGTGTTGAGGTTCATGTCTCCATCTCATGAAAGATCTTTTTTAAACAGGGAATATTGAAATAATATTGGAGTTATCCTTGCGACCTTGTACTTTTTAAATTATGGCTTAAAAAAACTTTCCACTCTCTTCTTTGTAATTCATCTATTAACGTTTATTTATTTTTTTTTTAGAGAGGTTTTGCTACAGGGCACATGCGCTCACCAGAGAAAGAGAGACAGAAAGTGAGAAATCACCCCCTAGTGAGGTGGACACACTGCAATCTCTTCTCCATTCTCCTCTTGGGATTTTGGGCATGCATGCATGCACATGTGCCCAGTGTCAGTTTTAAGCTGCTGGGTCTGAGACTTGAACTGTAGTCAGCCATGTGGGAATCCAGCAACATAACCATTATGCCTTCTGCTGGTCCCTATTAACATTTTTCACATTTTGCCAGAGGCCACATGCTGTCACTGGAGTGAAACACAGGGAGGGAGGCAAACTGAGAAAGCACCTTCCATGGGGGATGGTGACACTGCAACCCACTCTCCTCCATCTCTCCCACCTGTCTAGATTTGAGGCACACACACACACACACACACACACACACACACACACACACACACACACACACATACACACACACACACACACACACACACACACACCCCAGCATGTCTTCCAAGCCACTGGGTTTAAGACTCAAACCACATAGCCAGCCCCTTGGGATCTGGTCAGCTTAACCATTATGCCAGGGACTAGCCTACTCTATTAATATTTAAAAATTCTTCTTGGGTCAGTTTTGGGCATTCATGTTTCTCTAGGAAATCATCCCCTTCCTCTAGATTTTCCAATGTGTTGCTAAATAGTAGCATGCACTTTTTTGTTGGTTTGTTTGTTAAATTCATAGAATGAATACATATCGCACCCAGGAAAGAAAAGCCCCTTCAACAGGGTGTGGTCACACTGAAACCCCTCACAGCTCATCAGATCTTGGGCTCATGCTCACACCTGGAGTGTTTCAGGTTTACCAGGCCAGGGATCCAAACCCACAGTTGGCGGTGTGGTATCAGGCACTGCAGTTCAGTAAGCTGCCAGCTGAACCACCAGACTGGGCCGCTAGCAGTGATTTTAAAACCTTTCTATTTCCATCTTACATCACTTTCTGGCAGCATTCTACAGAACGGACGACTGTACTTTTTTAAAAGTTTTTGCCACTCGACAGAGACAATGAGAGAGAAAGTGAGAAACCGCCCTCTCCCTACTCTCCTCCATGGGATGACCATGCCACAATCTCTTCTCCATTTTCCTGGGATTGTAGGCATGCATGCACATGTGCTCAGTGCAGTTTCCAAGCAGTCAGGTCCAGGACTCGAACCGGTCAGCCAGCCATGTGAGAGTCCAGTGCCTTAACCACCACGCTACCTGCTGGCCCCCGGGAGAGTGTACTCCTAAGGTTTGCATTTCTTAAAGTCATGCAGTAGATGTGATGGATTCATATCTTTAGTGTGACCATGCAGAGAAATGTACGATGGGTATTAATGGAAAATTACAGGAAACTTGAAAACTGAGTGAACTGTTTGTTGACGTATTACTCATTAGTATAGGACTCATCTATAATTATGCAATTTACTACCCTTTCTCCCTTATATTATCTTGGAAAATTACAGCCTTATAACAGATATCCAGAATTTATTAACACCCTGGCTTACCTGTTTGACAATAATGCTCTAAGAAAACAGTCGAAATTATATTCTCTCATCGTTGTTCAAAACCGATTTTTTTTTAAACAAAGAACCCCGCATTTAAACCAAAGGAAAGCTAGCCTGTTGGGTCATACCTGGCTGCAAAACAGAGTATGTCTTTCTGAACAGATTTTCAGTGTTCTTCAAGACCACAACTAGTCTAAAACTATACACGAGGCAGTAATTGAGATGGACTGCCCACTTTTTATATTAAAATGACATTGGCTACATGATTTTTCTAAACTGGATTTCTGTAAAAGATAGAACTAGTCGACTCGTTGACCACGATGGAATAAAGCGAGCGTCCAGTAGAAGACCATTATGACAGACTGACCTCAGGTTAATAAGCAGCACAGTTATAAACAACACAGCCATGGGTGGCCTCCTGTTCAGCCTGTGAGGTGCAAAGGACTAAGTGGCCCGGGAGGAGCTGGGGTGGCCACGGAGCTGCAGCTCACCCTCACTGAAGTGGAGTCACCCGACATGATTCATGTGGTTTTAATTGATCTTGCCTAGGTTTTCCTCGCTAAATTAAGCTGTAAGTTAGGGTATTAACCCTGGAAAGTGTTTCAACGGCATGTAAAAACTTCCTGTGATAAAGCCTTCAAATACTAAGGGATGAGTCAAAGTATTTTCTGTATAAATTTTCCATCTGGATATATACCACGTCCAGTACTGAAGCTCTTAACGATCTGAAGTAGAAACTGGTGTCACTGAATGGAATAATATCCTGCCTTCTTAAGTACCACGTGATACTTCATATTGATTCAGATTCATCACTTACATAATCTGGGCACAGCGGCATCCTCAGGGACCACGGTATTTACAGGGACCCTATGCTAAATTGTCTCAAGCAGTTGTACTTTCTAATGACCACTTTATTTTTTGGCTCCCTCCTGTTGTCACAACTGTCACATTTTGTTTACCTGCCTCTAGCAGGACTCTTCCCACACTTGTGATTTGTTCAGGAGCAGAAGTCAGATTACCAAACTTGTCAGAACTGTGCGAAGGAAGAGTAAGGACACGGAAGGCGGGGACCCACAGCGCTCGTTCCTGAATCGAGTACGAGCATGTGCAACATCTGCTCAGACTGACGCCAAGCGTGAGTTCGAATGGGCCACCTGCAGCTGGGTGCTTCTGGTGACAGCAAATGAGATATCCATCACCCTGGCTTGAGAACTGTTTGACAGCAGAGCTTGAGAACTGGAGGGGCAGAGCATCTGACAGCAGTTGCTAATGGGAAACCGTAGAGTGGCAGAGGTAGAACTATACAGACCGGCTGGCTTAACTGGCTTCCTATAAACTTAATCAGTTAGGTTACAGAATACAGAAGCTATTTAATAAATCGTCACATGACACATCGAACTCAGAGTTGAGTTACAATATGCTTTTAGAAATAACTTCTTAATTACACCTAGAGTGAATCATTAATACCTCCAGCCTGCTAACTTTCGGAGAAGCTGGTATTTACGTAATGGTGGTATTCATTTGCTGAGTAAGGCACGAGCAGTTCTAGCTAGGCAGGAACAGCAGTCTTCAAAACAATCATGTGACACAGTAAGAACAGGGCTACTGCTTGGAGATTCTGGAAACTTGTGTATTTAAAGAGCTAAGTTACTTCTATTTAAATCAACTCCTATCAACAGTTACTTTTTTTTTTTTCAGAGGTTTTTGCTATAGGGCGTATGAGCAAGCATCATTATTCATAGTCATTAGGCAACCATCTCTATAAGGCAGAGAGCTCAACTCTTTGAAAACTCAAGTGATTTTTTTTGGAGAGGTTTTCGCTATAAGGCGCGTGCGCTCACCAGACAGACAGACATAGAGACAGAAAGCAAGAAATCACCCCCCAGGGGGGATGACCACGCTGCAATCCCTTCTCCTCCATTCTCCTCTCTGGATCTTGGGCACGCACGCACACGCACCTGGCATGAGTTTGAAGCCACCGGGTCCGGGATGCAAACTGTGGTCGACTATGTGGAAGTCCAGCGACATAGCCATTACACTAACTGCAGGTCCCAACAGTTACTTCTTTTTAAGCTTCTCTCTTTTATGTAAGAGGGGGTGGGAGAAGACAAGCACATTTAGATAGTCTCAGGCCACCATCCTCCCGTCTCTCCCAGCCGGCCAGGACCCTGGGCATGTGGCTGTGCCCAACATGGACAGATCAACCCAGGAACCAAACCCCAATTTCCCCACGGCCTCCAGCACCCCACGGCACTGCCCTGCTGACGCACTGACAGTTACTGCTACTTCCGTGGGGCGTTAATTCAGCCAATTCAGGTGCCTTTGCTTCCTAAGTTGTCTGTTTTTTAAGGAAGATGTGATAGGATGCTGTGAGTTTACAGGACGTTAGCAACCCATACTAATCCTTATATAAAAGAAGTATTAAAATAACGACTTGTTACCAGCACATTTCCAAAAATTTTGCACAGGTGGTAAAATATTTGGGTATAGCTCTTTAATATACTTTAACAACTAAAAATGTAGAAAGAAAAAACCTTTATTCTGAGAATATAGCCATTTTGCTTTTTAAATACTGAAATGACCTTTTATGAAAATTCATTTTCAATTTTTAAAGTATCCTTATGTGACAAAATTAACAGCTGATTCAGTCTTTATGTTTTTAAGTATACTTATTTCCTGGGAAAGCTAATAAATATGGGAACCATGAGAACGTGTATAAAAACAGGTCACCATGAATTGCAGTGAATGATTTTATGTTTTTATTTTTTAGAATAATTATTTATTTGTTTATTCATTCATTTATTTTAATTTGACCAGAGCGAGATACACACACACAGAGAAGGAAAGTGAGAAAGCAAGCCACTGGGTCCGGTATTTGAACTGCACTCGGCCATGTGGGAGTGTCCAGTGCCCCAACCACCACGCCACCTGCTGGTCCCTGCAGTGAATGATTTTATAAAAAGTATTTCATGACCACAGGCCAAGGTATCCATGCTTTTGGGTGAGGAAGTTATTACCTACGTCTTATACTCAGAAGTGGAAAATAATTGGTTATTCTGACAGAAAAAGTCCTTAAGAGTTTTGAAGAAAAGGTCTCAGAAAAAATACTCAGAGACAAAGAAGAGCAATATTTTCTTTCTTTCTCACTGACAAGTAGGGAGAGAAAAAAGCAACAATTTTGGACCTACACCTTGGAGAACTTTTCAAAACAACAGTCTACATTTCTCACTTTTAAAAATCATGCTGTTGGAACCAGGAGATGGTGTAATGGTTATGTAGCTGGACTATCAAGTAGTAGACTGCGGTTCGAGATCTAGACCCAGCAGCTCAAAACTCATGCCAGGCATGTGTGCATGCTTGCCCAAAATCCCAAGAGAAAAATGGAGGAGAAAGGACTGAGGTGTGGCCATCCCCCAAAGGGATGATTTCTTGCTTTGTCTCTGGCGTGTGTACACACCCTGAAGCAAAAAGCCTGCAGCTGGCCCTAAGAAACTTCAGATCACACATAGAACTTATTGACATTACATGTAATAAATTAAAAGTCCAAGTACCAGGACCAGCAGAGGGAGTAATGGTTATGTCACTGGACTCCCACTTAGTCAACCTCAGTTCGAGTCCCAGACCCAGTGGCTTAAAACTCATACCAAGTGCGTGTGCATGCATGCCCAAGATCCTGAGAGAAGAGAGGAGAAGGGATTGAGGTGTGGCCATCCCCCCCGGGGGGTGATTTCTTGCGTTCTGTCTGTCTCTCTGGCAAGTGCACACATCCTATAGCAAAAAATATCTTAAAAAAAAAAAAATCCAAGTACCATGTTTACTGCAGTGTCTAGTACATACAAAGTCAGATTCAGTATGTCTGCCTCCTGTACTGTCTTTATATAAAAAAGGAACTGAATGAATTACACCTTTAATAGACTAAAAAATAACTATTAATATGAGAACTGTATTGTAAGATTTTTCTAGGAAGGCTCTAAATAATAGGATTAAAAATTATAAACATTTTGGTACCAGAATGATAGTATAATGATTACATCTCTGGACTCCCACATGGCCAACCATGGTTTGAGTCTTGGACCCAGAGGCTTGAAACTCATGTTGGGCACGCATGCAAATCCTGAGGGAAATGGAGGAGAAGGGATTGCAGCATGGCCATCTGCCACCTGTGGGGTGATTTTTTGCTTTCTGTCTCTGTCTCTCTGGCAAGTAGACATGCCCTTATAGCAAAAATCTTTTTAAAAAAATTTACAAACATTTTAAAGATTCTCCAGTAAATTTATTTTCAAACATTTTTGTATATTTGTCTTAATGTTGTATTGTTTTAAAAGAGAAGAAAAGTTCATATAAATACAATTTTGAATACTGATTTATCATTTTATCATAAATCCAGATAAACTTTATGCTTACTTCTAACTGATGGTCAAACTGCAGAAGCCCACAAGTTTAGCTGTAAGTGTTGTCACCTTGCCCCAGCTGAATCAAATAGCTCAAGACACACACACACACACACACACACACACACAGACAAAAGTAGGCCTTTCGTAAACAGATATTTTATGGTGTAGATAATTGTTTCTCTTTGGAACTTTTTATACCCAGTTTATTTCTTTTTTGAAATTGAGATATTCATAGTCATTAGGCAACCATCTCTATAAGGCAGAGAGCTCAACTCTTTGAAAACTCAAGTGGTTTTTTTTGGAGAGGTTTTCACCATAGGGTGCGTGCGCTCGCCAGACAGACAGAGACATAGAGACAGAAAGCGAGAAATCACCCCCCAGGGGAGATGGCCACACAGCAATCCCTTCTCCTCCATTCTCCTCTCAGGATCTTGGGCACACATGCACACGTGCCCGGCGTGAGTTTAAGCCACTACGTCCAGGACTCAAACCGCGGTTGACTACATGGGAGTCCAGCGACACAGCCATCATGCTAACTGCTGGTTCCCTCAAGTGATTTTTCATAGAAACATTTTTCTTCATCTAAAAAGAATGGAGTGCGGAAGCCTAAAGGAGGGGGAACCACTTCAGATGATCTAAACAAAATAGATATGAAAAGTAATATACAGTGTAGGGGAGAAATCTTAACTGTAGATGCTGTTGAAAGTATTGATAGTTAAAGAAAACAATTTGACCCATTGCCAAAATTTAGATTTTCTTAATTTATTACAATCAGAAGTGTTGATTTTATATTACTTCTTTGAAGCCAGCATGAGAGGCTTGACAATTTAATTTTTATATATATGACTGTTTGAATATACAAAGTATCAAATATAAACAGTAATACAGCAAGAAAATAAATCGGCAGAAATAAGTATTCAACCAGTAATAATAATTAAGATCACCAATTCAAAGATTTTCTATACACAAAAAAATGAGAAAATATTGTTATAAGAGTTTACAGCACACAGTGAATTTAATCCTACTTCACTACTATTATACTTCCTTCTTCTTCAGAATTAGTGGGCCCACATTATCTCCTGTCAGTTCATTGTGTTTATTATGTGAACCATCACAGGCAGGAAACTGAAAGGAAAAAGAATTACAAGTGTTATTTTAAAAATATGATTCATTAAGTAGAAATATTTGTGAAATACTTTTGTAAAGAAAACTTGATAAAAAAAGAAAATCATTGGATTGCCTTCCTGAGTAGTAGATATGTTCTACATCTAACCTAACCACAATCTGATAATACAGCAAATCTGACAATTTAAATAGTCAATTCGTTATTTGGTTTAGATTTTATTTTGATTGACTGATTGATTTTCTTAGTGATTTTTGCTATAGGGCACATGCACTCACCGGAGACACAGAGACAGAAGGCAAGAAATCGTCCCCCAGCGGAGATGGCCACACTGCAGTCCCTTCTCTTCCGGTCTCTTCTCGGGATTTTGGGCACACAGGCACACATGCCCAGCCTGAGTTTTAAGTCGCCGAGTCCGGGACTCGAGCCACGGCTGACTACATGGGAGTCCAGTGACATAAACATTATGCCATTTGCTGGCTCCCCTGGTTTAGATTTTAAATAACAATCTCTGGATGATTCCATGTGACTGACTATAAAATAGGTTTTAAAAAGGAATCAAAATATGCTATTGTCTCTGTGGAGATCCAAATTCAAACTCATCTCTTACTGAATCTTAAAAAGAATGCAGTGTAAATTCAAAAGAAACTATTTTCTAATTAATACTTTCTTATAAAACGCATGCTTCTGTACATTTTTTGAAAAACATAAGTAATATATGTTTAGGGGCCATCAGGTGGCGTGGTTAAGACACTAAATCCCACATGGCCAACTGCAAGGTTCGATTTCCAGATTCGGCAGCTAGGAGAACACAATGGGTGCATGTGTGCCCAAAATCCCAAGTGCAAAAAGAAGAGGAGGGTATTGGGGGTGTGCCCATGCCCTAGAGTAAAAAACTATAAACAAATAAAATACATCTTTTTAAAAAGTCACTCCTAATCCATCCAGATACACGGACAGTAATTTTTGGGCATAGTTTTTCATTTGCATTTACTGTGTGCACTAATTTTTTTTAAAACAAAACTGGGATCATAATATGCTTTGCTTTTTTTTATTCTTTTCTTTTTTAAGAGAGATTTTTGCTATAGGGTATGTGCACTCGCCAGAGAGACAGAGAAACAGAAAGTGAGAAATCACACAATCCCTTCACCACCACTTTCCTCTTGAGATTTTGGGCACATGCGCACACACGCCTGGCATGAGTTTTAAGTCACCAGGTCCAGGATTCAAACCATGGTCGACCCTGTGGGAATCTAGCAACATAACCATTACACCATCTCCTGGTCCCATAATATGTTTTTCTTACTTACACTAATTATATCAGGATCTCATGTCATTAAATATTCTTTAAAAACACGATTTGCAAAGGTTTCCTAACATCCCATCAATTTTATCATACTTCATTATTCCCCTATATCTGATTTATAAAATTTTGCTATTATAAAGGATGCTGTGATAAATGTCACATATAAAACTGTAAATAGTCTATGATCAAGTACATTGGCATTGAATCATAACTGCATAAGGTGGTCTACCATCCACACTGCATCACTGTGCTCATGTCCCAGCCAGCCCCTGTTGCTGGGGTGGTGAGCTCCAGTACTGCCGTCTCCACTGAGAATACCACGTGACATTAATCATCTTCCTGGGAACGATTCTACTCTCCAGTAAATTGCATATGTGCTCTGGTGAGCACACGTGCCCTATAACAAAAATCTCTTTAAAATAATAATTTAAAAAAATTGGGGGGGATCAGCAGTTGCCATAATGGCTATGTCACTGGACTCCCATGTAGCAGCAAAAATGATCACTCATGGTTCTCACACACTGTTCATCGTGTTCAGTGCAATATCATAAAATTTAAGAACACTGTAACATTGCTGTAAACAGTGTATTTGAGCTTAAGCTAGACTATCGTAAAGCATCTCTCCTGATTACAGTAGGTTACCATACAGCATCATACTGCTGCTGCATCACCCATGAATCCTCACATCTGAATATGCTTCTTTTTCACAGTATCTTTTCATTTTGATATCCAGTGTTAGTTATAGAAGTAACACCTATGGAACTTTGTATCGTATAAGATAATAGTGATGTAGGTATGGAAAGAGGATATCCTTGTGAACAAGATGACAAAGTTACAGTATCAAAAGTATAGTACAGCACTGTAAATGTGTTTTCTCCTACTTACAATTTTCTTAGGCTGAGCTTGTGGTGACACCTGATTTCTATCTGTGCTTGCTGCTCTAACTTTTCTAATGTAGGTACAATAGTATCTATCGATCATAAGCTGCAAGCTTTTAATTTAGGACTACAGACTTTCAATACTGGATACTATGAGAATAAATCTCTCACTGAACCTCAAAACTAGGGATTTGGGAACCAGCAGTCAGCGTAATGGCTATGTCGCTGGACTCCCACGTAGTCAACCGCGGTTCGTGTCCCGGACCCAGTGGCTTAGAACTCACGCCAGGCGCGTGTGCGTGCGTGCCCAAGATCCCGAGAGGAGAATGGAGGAGAAGGGATTGCGGCGTGACCATCCCCCCTGGGGGGTGATTTCTCGCTTTCTGTCTCTATGTCTCTCTTTGTCTGTCTGGCGAGTGCCCGCGCCCTACAGTGAAAATCTCTCAAAAAAAAAAAAAAAAACTAGGGATTTAAGGGACCAGCAGAAGGTGTAATGATTATGTCACTGGACTCCCACACAGCCGACTGCAGTTCATGCAATGTGTGTGCATGCATGCAGGCCCAAAATCCCAAGAGGAAAATGGAAGAGAAGGGACTGTGGCATGACCATCCCCTGGAAGGGGATTTCTCACTTTCTATCTCTCTGGTGAGCACATGTGCCCTATAACAAAAATCTCTCTTAAAAAAAATTTTTTTTTAAAAATTGGGGGTGGGGGACCAGCAGTTGGCATAATGGCTATGTCACTGGACTCCCATGTAGCTCGTGGTTCAAGTCCTGGACCCAGTGGCTTAGACTTACACAGGCACGTGGGCATACGTGCCCGAGGTCCCAGGAGAATGGAGAAGAAGAGATTGCAGTGTGGCCATCCCCCCTGTGGGGTGATTTCTCGCTTTCTATCTCTCTCTCTCTTTTTGGTGAGCATTCACGCCCTATAGCAAAAACCTCTCCAAAACAATTTTTTTAAAGACTTATTTTATTTAACTTTATTTATTATTATTATCATTATTATTACTGAATTTGATGAGAGAAAGAAAGTAAGAAAGCAAGACTCCAGGTATGGGACTCGAACTACAGTCAACCATGTGGGAGTCCAGTGCCTCTAACCACCAAGCCACCTGCTGGCCCCAATAAAAAATTTTTTAGATGGGGATTTAAAAAGCAAAACCATTCTAACACCACAAAATTTTGTTGTATTTTGGAAATGAACAACTTACCGTCTTAGAACGCCAACACCTACAGTAAGCTGCTTTAGTGAGACACAAATCTTCAATGTTTATTTCATTGACCACTTTGGGATTTTCCTTTTGTATTTTAAGATTAATCAAGCTGTCCTTCTGCTGTTTTTTCTTCGGGAGGAATGGACGAACTGCAAGGTAGCCGAGTAGTGCCAGCACACCCAGGAAAGGCAATAACCGAAGCCATTCTGAAACTAAACATGTATGGATTTGTTAGAATACGCGGAGTTCCTATAAAGGAACCCTAAACAGCATGTCTGGTCTCATCGTGGAGCTTATTCTTGACGTTACTCCTCACATTACTTCCTCATTTACCCCACCTATAAAACTGTGAATAACACAATCAAGCCAGCTCTACCCAGGACTTATTTATAAGCTAACTTGAGATTCATGAACGAAGAATATCCTACCTCATTGTCTCCATTGAATGTTTTGGTGTTTGTTTTTACTTTATTTCAGGACTCATGATCATCACAGCTACAAACAGAATCAATGTGTGATATACAAGGGGGGCCAAAGAGTTTGTGGGAAATGGGACTAAAGTATACTTTGGTGAAATTTTGAAATCCATGCATGGTCTTTCCATAATAAGCATTTTCTATAAACTTTTTGAAGGGCCCCTATATTTTATAGGTTTAGAAAAGTTTCATTCCTGGGACCAGCATAAGGCATAATGGTAACATTGCTGGACTCCCACGTAGTTGATCATGGTTTGAGTCCTGGCCCTGGCAGCTTAAAACTCACGCTGGGTATGTGTATGTGCCTCCAGAAAGGAGAATAGAGGAGAGACTGACACGGCCATCCTCCCTGGGGGGTGATTTCTCACTTTCTGTCTCTGTGTCTCTGGTGAGCACATGTGCCCTATAGCAAAAAAAAAAAGTTTCATTCCTTTTTAATATCATAACTAAAATTATATACAACAGAGTATTTATTGATTTATAATTTTAAACACATCTTCAATGCTTTTACACTTTACTGTTTTGGTAAATGTTCCTAAAGAACACCAAAATGTGTAACAGCTATTATTTGAAAGAACTAATTGAGGGCTGGCAGATGGTGTGGTGGTTAAGGGTGCTGGACTCCCACATGGCCAACAGAGGTTCAAGCCCCACATCTTGCGGCTATCTTTGTCACGCCCTCCCACCCCTCTCTGGTTAAATTAAAATAAATAAATAAATAAGTTAAATAATCCTAAAAAAAAAAAAAAAACCCTAATGGAAACTTTCATATACTGAATGTTCTCATGTTAAGATACATTACATTTCATAAGCATTTGCTAAGTAACTTTAAAAGTCAGGGGATATAAGCCGTATGAATGACATGGTCCTGCTGCTTTTTTTAGCCACCAGAGCCAGGACTTGAACTGTGATTAGCCATGTGGGACCCCGTTCCCGTAACCACTATGCTACAAAGCCTGCCCAAAACAAAATTACTTTTGCTACAACACCATGCCAAGTGATCTCAATGTAACAGCCTGTTTATATAACATATGTATAATACCTGTGAGGATGCCTGGCACAGAGCAGATACAGTAAATGGTAGCTTTCGTTAAGGGTTTATGGCGAGGCTAACAGATGGCATGGTGGTTAAGGGCGCTGGATTCCCACATGGCTGACCACATGTTCGAGTACCAGACCTGACGGCTTGCTTTCTCGCTTTCTCTCTCTGTCTCCCTCTGGTCAAATTAAAAAATAATAGCACTAATAACTAATTAAATCAATAATTTTTTAAAGGAGTTTATGGCAGCTGGTGACAAAATGGTAACAACTCCTTCAGAAAGTATTTTGCCGGGACCAGCGGTTAGCATAATGGCTATGTCGCTGGACTCCCATGTAGTCGACCGCAGTTCGAGTCCCAGACCCGGTGGCTTAAACTCACGCTGGTCACGTGTGCGTGCGTGCCCAAGATCCCGAGAGGAGAACGGAGGAGAAGGGATTGCGGCGTGGACATTCCCCCCCCCCCCCCGGGAAGGTGATTT